GTTATCAAATCAGTGCGGAGTTGTTTATCTTTAGTAGTGTGGTACTAAAATGAACATTGTCTCATCAATAATCTTCAATAAAGCTATATATAAATGGATTGTTTTGAAAGAACACGAAGCGTTGCGTGCAGTTTCATACGACTGATTTCACAATTCGTGTATAATGTGTGTATGAATGTATATGTGGGTAGAATAGAAGATAGAAAAAAAATTGGGTTCTTCGAGTGGAACACTTAATTGCGAGAGTCGAGCGCTATCCATCCAAATACATTGTGACGTCACACATCTTACACAGAAACGGCATCTTTGTAAAACAGGCTAACTACAATGTAAAAGTATAGCGAGAGGGGAAGGGAGTGAATAAAAAGCGGAAACAGATACGTTTGATTTACATTGTAGTTAGCCGGTTATTAAAAGATGGCGTTTATATAGTGTGCCCTTATCGCGCTTGACTCTTGCTTAATTGGGTTTAATTCGTTGTTATTTTTCTATATATCTACTAAATAAGTAATTTAATAACATTTCATTGCGCATGGTGAATGTCGTTGTGTAATACATGTATCGAAGGTTGATGTTGTGCAATCAAATATGTAATAGATTTTAATTAAAACAGAGAAAATCGAAGTGTTTGCATTTGGATTTGAATTGACTTCTGACACCATCGATTCCGCTCCAAAAAATGATTTGATAAACGTGGTAGCTCAGAATGACGATGACTTACGGATTCCGACCTTCAAACATTACGATAAACGAAGTTAAAGGAAATAATTTTTAATTGTAAAAACACATGAATTTTTTTTTTAAATATTTTCTTCTTCAAGTAACAAAACAAAATTCGTTGCAATTATTCATCAACAGTTGGAATTTTAATTTATTTCGATAAAAAAATTCAATACACAGACCAAAAATGTAAGAAAATGATGTTGTTGAACGACGAATATTCATTGGATGACTTTTATTCCATATTATTATTTTGTAGTTTTAACAAAATTGAACGTATATCGTCTGAGAACCAGGCGCCTTCTTTGTTTCCCATTTTTCTTATAGCATTGATCAATACATGATTTATTGCTTCATAATTGGGAACCGTTTTATCGGACAGCAACTCTTTGTCGCAAATATATTCGAATACTCCTCTTACATGGTCATTCTTGAAATGTTTGCATTTTTCCTGCAAAAATGAGACGTATTTATAGTTTAGAAATCAAAATTGATAAAAAAGGGCTTTTTCACCGACCATCAATTTCGATTTGGCATATGTTTTTCCCTTTTTGCGGTTTTCGAATAAAGCATAACCTTCTGGAAGGGATTCAAAGAGAAGTTGATGGTTATGGTTGGGGTCCAATGGTACGCCCGCAAGATACCACAGCGAATATATTAATGACTCAAGATCGTCCATCGCGAAACGACTTTTATCTGCAAAGAAATTTGCTGAAGCAAATAGTAACGTTTTGCCTTTATTTTGTGCACCATTTATTGTAGCTAAATTGAAATCTGGATGGAAAAAGAATCGAACGTTAGTTTATGGGATTGAGTCGAACAGCGACAGCTCGCTATAACATCGCAAGCTCCATAATAATCGGAGATTTTTCACTGTTTCGTTTGTGAATTATAGAGAGCTTTTCTGTATTTTAAATTATGTATTTACCACTTATAAATGCATCACGCCCACGATAGAACAAATTTTGCGGTTTAATATCATTGTGCACAACATTCTTGGTGCTAAGGTATTGCAATCCTTTGACCTAAGTTCCAAGAAGAATTTTTTATTATTTAATTAAAACAGTAAAATTTTTCAATAACATTTGTGGCAACAGATAAATTTTGAATTATGTCGGACAAGGTTTTTTCTCGGTTTTCATTTTTGAAAGGATTCGTAATAAAATCATACCAATTGCATAAGCACGTATAATATATCAACGTTCAATAAATCTCCATTCGGAGTGTCATTATAATAATCGAAGAGAGTTCCGTCGAATAAAGACATTGCAATAGCATAACATCCTCCATTTAATTTTCCATGATAATAAATCCTGGGTATCTTATGGTCTTCAATTTCGTGATCGTCTACTGCATTTAAAGCCGCATACACAACCATTTCCTTGTCAATGGAATAATTATTCCAAAACATTTTAACAGCAACATCCGTTTTATCGTTATAAATACCTGAATTAATTTTTAAAAAATCATTGTAAAAGAGGTAATTTTCAAGTATTTGTTATAGCTGTTATAGGCATCGCGGAGGTGCGGACATTTTCCTTGTAAGTGGCAATTTAAAAATTATATGAAAATAAGTTCGGTTACCCGGTGCCAATAACAGCTCTGTTATTATACCTAGCCATACGATCGAGGTGTCAGATCGTCCAATTTCGGCACCATCAACAAATTCCAATTTGTGCTCACTTAATCCAGTCAGATTATAATTTTTGCTATTAAAATATTTTTCCACAAAACCCTCAATCAGTGATTGTATAATTCCTCCGGTCTGAAATTCGTTTCAATATCATTGTGGTTGTAAAATAAAAAATTTAAGTAGTCCTATTAAAGTTGACTTACCACAACAACTAAAAGACCGCTAAACAACAGACAATAATTGAAATAGGTCATTCTACAGGATAAAATCGTTTGCTTCTTTGTTGAATCACTCGAAACACAATGACGGTTAACCGATTGCTCATCATTTTATATAAGTTACCCTTCAGTCGATTGTGAACGCTTTGAAAATACCTCACGATTATATATTCTTTTCAAACAGATGTTTCAAATATGTTCATCTTCATGTCATGAAATGTAACAAAATGTGTTTTATTTGTTGAAAGTTGAAATTTTAATTTTTTTAAATGAAAATTAGTAATTAATTTTCAAAGGTGAAACAAAACAAAACTACTGGAAAAGCTTATACCGTTCGATTGTCAGGTGTGCTTTTGTCAAAACCAGTAATTACAACTATCACACATGGAGTAAGGTTTATTTGAATTGGGCGTAACTTTATTTCGTGTTTTTAATAACTTAATTTGGTTAATTATTGGGTCCGCTTACCGATGGTGTGAACATTTTTATTGTCTGTTGTCTGTCCTTGGGTATTTTCATATAAACAGAGACTACACAGCAACACAGTTATTTGTTTGAATTTCAGTAAATACCAGAAGCTTCAAAAGTTAACTGTGTTCATCGAAAAGTGAAATGGCGTTTAAAATTCACAAAGAAATTATAATGAAAGTTGGTTTATCCACGAATATTTTGAAAAATATGATAATTTTGGAAAAGCGAATCTTTATCGTCGGCATTTTTATTGGGTTACTTCTATTTATGGCAAATATTTTCAGCTTGTCATTCGTTTTGATTTACTTTTCAACAAACTTGAAGAGTTCATTGTTTGCCATTCTTCAATTCGCTGGCGGAATAAGTGCACTTTATTCGCTGGTTATGTTTTGGTTGAATCGTGAACGAATACCGAGAATTGTACACCACATCGACAAAGTACAAGGAATATTATCACATCACGTAGTTCATGCTCAACGAATTGGCGATAAACTAACGGTATTCTTAATGCTTGGATTAGTAGCGGCATTTTGCACAATTTGGATTATGGCGGTTTGTTCGGGACTTTATCTTCATTACAAAAATGGTTTTATTGATTTTGCTCGCACTTATCGTCCATATACTTTTGTGTAAGTCAAACGATACGGATCTTATCGGAAAGGTCAATTTTTATGGTAGAAATTTGTTCATTCCAGAGTTCCATGGAACCAAAATGATGCCAATGGATATGCGTTGACAATGATCGTTTCTACTTTGATGGCAACCGCATATACGTTTTGCAATTCCATGGTCCTTTCGTTTTTCTGCTACATTTGCCTATATTTTCGGGCGTTTATGTATCAATTTCAAGATAAAATTGAACAGTTACACGGTAACTTTTTCAACGATGACAGTAAGCCTTTGAAGATTAAAACCGAAGAAGCAAAACAGCAGTTCAAAAATGCAATCGCTTTTCATGTTCATTACAAAAGGTTCGTTTTTTGAACTCGATTTATATCGAGCTCTGTGTCCATATTACTCTTTTACGAGCTGCCAATGAAAGTTTTTAAATTCAAATTTGAAATTTTAGCATATTTGCCGATGCTGCCACGTTGTACAGCGGCGTCTTATTCATTCAGTCGATTGGTGGCGTTTTTTATATTGCAATAAGTATTGTTCAAATGGAACTTGTGAGTGAATTAACGCCATTTCTCTTCTTATTCAACACTAATATTCATTCTTTCAATTCGCATACAGGCGCTGAGCCACTTGGATGCCAATGTCATAATGATTTTCTTCTATGTTTTAAATAGTCTCTTCACAGTGTTTTTGTACACGGCTTTCGGTTCAATGGTCACTGAAAGCTTTGCAAGCGTCTCCGATTGTGTTTACAAAGCACCGTGGAATGATTTGCCCAAAGAATTGAAGATATACACACTTTTTATGATTTGTAATTCAAAGCCGTTACAATTTTATGGACATAAATTGTTTTCGATAAATTTGGGAACATTTCAAAAGGTAACAAGATTGATTCTAATGGTGGATTTTATTTTTCATAAAAAAAATCATACTGTTTTGTCCTTCGAAGCTCAATTTCAGCTTTAATTAACAGTTATATAATTAATAATTTAAGCTCTTTGTTGATTTAGCAGAGGTGCGGAGACTTCTGTCGCAGGAGGGGGAAAAGAATGTATTAAAGGTAGATGGGTTGAAAGAACTTTCAACTTTGTAAATTAAAAGAGTTTTCGTCTCGAAAAACCGAAAAAAGTGGAAAGGTCACTTTCTCGTCAAACTAGGGAGATTTGAATAGTTCAGACGGGAGAAAGCCCGAAAATACGTGTTTTACGTGAGGTACCATGGAAACCCTCACTCTCCGCACCTATGCTTGGGAGCCACAGCAAGACGTCTTTGTTAAACATAAACTTAACAAGACGTTATGGTTCCTTCACACATTGCCTCATTGATTGGTGGGCGGTAGTTTGCTGTAAAATCAATTTTTTTCTTGTATTTCAGATTTTGAAGACAGTCTCTACTTACTATTTGATGTTCAAAGCCCTTCTATCGACCCAATGAATGGTATCCAATGGCATTCGGTGCTTATTGATTTTATTCATGAGTTTGTTCAATTCTGCATCTCAAGACGACCTCTTCGATTGAAAATACAGAAGCGTTGCCATGTCAAGCGACATGGGGTAATGACATCGCTAAGCAGTGTTCTCTTTTGCTTTTCAAGTGAAAGAATGACTGTGAAATTATAACAGTTTTTTGTACCATTTTTATTCCACTCGCATTTATTCTAAATTTGTGAACAGCTTTTATTGGGCTGCAGCTTTGAATGTTAATTAGATACGAGTGGAGAAATGGTATAAAGCGTTGAGTTATTCTTTCATACTCTATTTAAAAATATATAGGTCACCATAAAAAACTTGGAAAACATTGATAAGAAATCAAACTTTAATGAATTTACGAAATACAATTGATGCAATGGTACACATTTTTCTTATCATTTTTTGATTTTACTTATTTTCTATTTTATCGACTTGAACTACAGTTAGTGTTGGCTGCGAACATCTACGAACACATGAACGAGTAGGCAATAGAAATATCGTACGAACAAAAAGAATATTTCTACGAAAGAACGAACGAACAAAATTGTTATTTCTATTGCCTATTGAATTAAACTAAAATTATAGCTACTATTGGCTTCCATTGAAATTGGATGCGGCAGAACGACACGCGTTTCTGCTTCGGTGGTAAGTGTTACTCTATTCAGCCTTTTAAAAATTATGTGGTCCATTTATTATATAGATCGCTTCCATAGATAGAACGCCACCATTCGATTTAAGTTGTGGTAGGTAACATTCTCTCAGCAACACATTTTTGCTAGTCTCAAATAAAGCATAATGCGGATGACTTTCATGTAGTTCTACGTCGCCAGTTTAATTTCGGTAGAATTGATAAGCGCAAAGTGGCACCACATTATGTTGAATTGTAGTTGAAAAATTCCTCCATGCTAATGTCATCAAAAGGAATTCGATCGAATGAATTGCCAAGTTGATTTCTTAACGATGATGGACTCAATTCCAAATTTTTGCGCACATTTTCTGCTTTTGCCCATTCCATACACGTTTCGACAATCGTTCGTGCATTACACTTTGAATTCACTAACTGTAGGATATTGTCGACCGAAACTCGATTACACTCCAAGAAAGTGTCGGATGTCATCTGCAATCGACAACCAATCAAGTATTTGTAGAATACAATCGTCGTGCACAAAACTCGGTTTTTGACTTTTCCATAGTGTTCTTGTCTTCGTCACTGATCATTTGCCACTAAATGAAATTTTTGGTGGATTTTTGTATGAAAAGTCTGTGAGAAATTGATTGCATCTTAAAACTAACATCAGATTCGGGTTTCTCGTGCCAAAAAACCCCCCACTACACATTCTTTCAACTTTCAAATTGAAAGAATATCATTTTAAGGCATTTTTCTCATAAGTGCCTCTTCAGAATCTAAGTTTTACACCGATCAATCAATGTCGTTGAAAATTTGACCAGATCTATTCCTCGTAGTGCCCAATCATCCCGTGAAGTCAGATTTTAAATTTCATGTCTGAGCACAAAACCATCGTGTCACCAAAATGGTTGAAAAATGATCAAAAAATGTATGGATGTGGGTACCCCATTCGGACCAAAAAAAAATTACACCGGTCAACAGATATTGCTCAAAAACTAATCAGCACGTCTCCTTGTAGTCCCAAATCATCCTGCAAAGTCAGAATTTGAATAGAGTTTTTGGAAGAAGATTTATCGCGGTAACAAAAAAAGGAGTCACAGGACACAGGGCACATCACACACAGCGACGCACATTAATATGCCCCATATGAAACATGTTTTGGGGTGACTTTAATTTTTTGGCCTAATACAATACCTTTCCTACACTAGGTGTGCGGAAAAGTAAAAAGAGAAGCTAATATCTTATATCATTGTCTTCGTGATTACTTGTGAACGATGCAAAAACGTATATGATTTATGATTGAAGCCCTCGTTTCTATTATCTCAGTGCGTACGACACTTCAATAGCAATAAATCACTCTCGAATTGAAGAAATTTTTCACACATTCTATCATATCAAGAGTAGGTATTGATAAACAGCAGGTATATACGCTCTACGGATTGAATTACGATTGATTTCAATAACATATTGGACAATTGATAGTGTAAAAATAAGACATTGGCCGAATATTAGTGAAATAAAGACAAAGTTCACAACTTCAATTTTAAAATGATTTTATTCCAAGATTCCAAGTTGAAATAGGAACAAAAAATAAAATAAAATCAATCAAGCTGCGGTGCTTTGAAAATACATTCTCGATATAAGTTCAGCCCCGGGATGAAAATAGATTTCAATATCATTTTCCAATTCAACTGATCTATGAAGCTGGCGCCTTTGCAGAAACGTAAAATCTTTCAAAAACTCATAATTTTGCCCAATCAAACCAAGGCTGTAGGTTTTATTTGCTTCCAAAAATATCGGTTCCGGCAAAACGATATGCGTATCCCCTCTCGAAGTGAGTGTAACTTTTTCAAACATTAGCATCTTGCCCCTGTAAATAGTATATGGTCCATTCAAAGTGTAAATAAATTCAACCCTCCTTCGGTCGTTATCATTTGAATTTGAAATCAATTGAGGTAAGTAGAATTCGGTCAATAAAATATTTTTATTCGATTCAAAACAGCATTTGGATGTTTGAGCTTCGATTAAATCAAAATCTCCTGTTCGTCGATCACAATTTAATTTTGGTAAAACTGACAAGGGCAACGATGCACATATACTTGATTCAAAGTTTTTTCTCACTATCGTATGTGTGAACACCTCGATCTCATCGTCTGAAAAAATCCGACGATATTTCGAAGCAAAGTCAAACATCTCGTCCATTTCAATTTCTGTGAATGGAATTCTATCGAATAAATTGCCCAGTTGACCTCTCAGTGTCAATGGATTTAAATCCAAATTTTTGCGCACATTTTCTGCCTTTGCCCATTCCATACATGCTTCGACGATTGTCAATGGGTTACACTTCGATTCTACTAACTGCAGAATATTGTCCACTGAAACTCGATTACACTCCAAGAACGTGTCGGATGTCAAGACCTCTTGGGCATTTTCACGAATTTTTTGCTCACAAAATTGTTGTAAATTCTCAAGTTCAAGGAGAACAGCCACCTCGTAGCCCCAACACATTTCTTTATTGGTTAATGATTTTTGGAATGGAATTTCACACGCCTCGACTGCTTCGTTCAATTCATATTTTTTACACAAATTAATCACTTCGCCAATGTGTTGGGATGTAAGCTGCACTTCGCTTTTATAGAAAAATTGTAAAAATTCTTCAAAAGCTGCGACTGATGAGTCGACAATTGGAATATCTCCCACTTCAATTAATGATCCGTAAAACATTGCGTCGAATACGGGACTTCCTGCCGATAGGAGAATTTTATGGGCTGGCACATATTCAGGGTGATCGGTGTCGATGCCAAATATAAATGTAACGTCAGCGGTTTTTGTATCCAAGTACAATTTTGCACTACTACGACCAGCTACACCATTATTACACATAAACAATTTTTCATCCATTTTAATGTCGGATAATCTTGACAAGAAAGAAGAAAGTTAATTTAGTTGTTAAAGCTTATTAAAAGTTACTTATAACCGATTATTGTTTTTGGAACCTCCGCCTAATCGAATCAGTAGTAGTTTGGAGTTTTTGACTATTTTTATAGAATTTTTATTTTCAATTTCGTAAGCTAAAAGTACTGAAAAACCTTGAAAAGACTGTTTCTTGATAGATAAATGAAATTCGACTGAAATGCGTGTTCACCGTTTTAGCACAGTTTCTGCTCATTTTAGCATTTTTTTGATAATTCCATATTATTATCGTTCATGTTTTGGTGTTGAAATAAAGATAAGGAAGCAATGTGTCTTATCTGTAAGCGCTATTATCAGAGTTTGATAATCAGAGATAATCAGACTTATGACTATGAATCACATTACTGGTAATATAAGTAAAAAATGAAATAGTGTTGGCTTCCGTTTTCGTATCAATAATCACTCATTGCAATACACAAAGATATCAAGTGAAATATCACAAATAAATATACTCGAGCTATTTTGGCATTCCATGGAATATCAATTTAGGGCGCACCGAAATTATGCCTCATAAGAGACTTTATAAAATGCAAAACTGTAGCACTGCTAGCGCCACTACGGACAACTATGGAGTTCCAGTCCGTTGGTTGCAACTGAGCAAAAGTCTTTTCACTATTTGGCGGCAACCTAGTGTAGATTACATTGAATTCCGTCATGGCGCTAGCAGTGTGACAGTTTGGGCATAATTTCGGTACGATCTAGGGACTCTTTCGCTGTTGTTTGTTTTTAATACAACATTTCATACACGATAATAATAATATCAACATTTTTGAATGAGAAAAATTCTATTGATATGCTGGGGTTCCCCCCCTTTCGGAACCAATTGTGATCCGAGTGGAATGAACCCCATTTTTGCTAGGGTGTAGAGAAAACGTTCTAGATGGCTATTCAATTTCCGACCGATGTCAAACTTCAAAAAAGGAAATTTGATTCTCAACTAAGTTTACATTCAACAATCAACAATATAAATAGATGTAACTACTAATTCACATACACACAGAGAAATATTGCAATGAAAACTAGATGGCTTGTCGTATAAAATTCGGAACTAGTTGACACTCCGTATAGAATTGTAAAAAATACAAAACTGTAGCACTGCTAGCGCCACTACGGACAACTATGGAGTTCGAGTCCGTTGATTGCAACTGAAAGTCCGTTGATTGCAAAAGTTTTTTCACTATTTGGCGGCAACTTAGTGTAGATTACATTGAATTCCGTCATAGCGCTAGCAGTTCATAGCGCTAGCGTTTGTTCATATAATTTCATACAAAATATCGTTTTTATGTATTCTCCTTTGTGCGGTTCTTCTTCGTTTGTCTTTCGACACAAAACGATATACAGTATGTTTCATTATAGAGAGAGGTTGATTTTTTATAATAAAACTCAAGAGTTTTACAAAATTATTTTATATACATTCTATTTAGTATCTAAGCTACGGCGCCACAAATTAATATTTAATCCATTCTCCTGCCTTCTCGATCACACAGGCACATCTATTCGGCATACTTTTGCTCAAATTTTCAGCATATTCGCTTTGAAAACCTTTCCACTGGCGCTGAATGAATGAACTGAGCTGCTTCAAATTGCGGTATGTTTTACCACGAAGCCATGCCTTAATAATAGCCCAAAAATTTTCGTTCGGATTGCAATCGGGTGACTGTGGCGGCCAGTCCATTTGTTTAATGTCATTTTCCTCTTTCCAAGCATTGCATAGACGACTTTTGTGTTTTGGATCGTTGTCTTCTAATAGAAGCCAATTCGAATTGTGGTTGCCATAGAACTTCTTAGCGATGGTTAACAGTGTCGATGAATAATGTTGGTTCATCCTCACGGCGCTTGGAATGCCCGTGAATATGGTCAACTTTCCAAAACCAGCTTCACAAAAGCAACCATAAGCATGCACCTTTTTCGGATACTTTACCGTGCGAACGACCATTCTCTTTTGGGCTCTAGACTAGGCATGGGTAGTGCTATTCACCAGCCAAAAGAATGACTCGTCAGTGTATATAACTTCGCTCCAATCTCTTGTTGAATTTTGCTTTGCCCCGTCAGTGCCTTTTTCTTCTGGTTTTCTGTCAAAAGCGGTTTCTTCAATTTACTGCGATAACGAACACCGGCAACATCTAATCTTCTCCTGATAGTAGAGCGCGAGACCTCTATTTTAAGACGGCGTAGCCGTTCAACACCTTGGCTCAACAACATACCTAAATTTTTATCGAACAACTTGACTCTCCGTTTATCTTCCTGTTGCGAGGAGGCTCAGTTTGGCTTCAGATTGGGCTGGTCGTTCACTTTTTTTTCATGCTTATACTGCTGGATTCACTTTATTACGAACCCTTTTGACTTTTTAATGTATTTAGCAGTCGATGTGATCGACATTCTTTGTCCTTTTGGATGCAAATGCAGAAAAACGGCTTCAAACCGTGAATGAAAATGTTCGGAAATAATGTTTTCGTTGCACAACAAACACTGTACTGATTTGAGAGCTGTCATTGTTAATTGGCGTAGTAGCTTAGAGTCTCATATGGCAACACCAAAAACATTTTTAGGATATTTGAAATTTGTGGTAGTTAAATCAACCTCTCTCTATAATGAAACATACTGTACAGAGAATACACAAAACGATATTTTACCTGAAGATTATATGGACAAATACAATTTTATATGTATTGTCATCTAGTTCCAAATTTTATACGACATGCCATCTAGTTTTCTTTGTAAAATTTCTCTGTGTGTATTTTCGAGACTTTATGGCATACATGAAATGTGATTCTTCATACGTTTGAATATATATATCGTAACGATATATCGAAACTGGATTTTTCTTAAATTAAGATCAAATCTGCAAAAAAATACATTAAAATAGTGCCATAACATAGACATGCTGGCGCCATTAAAGCACTTTAAACTTCTCTTTGATCAATGGAAGCAAAAAAAAATTGAGACCGGTTTTAAAAATCTCACGCAAAAGAACACACAAAGGTCATCTATATTCATGTTTTTATGTGCTAAATATATTGATAGTAATTCTTAATTAAAAAATCAGGTCCTGTTGCAAATAACACGACAAACTGGTTTTCCTTCTCTTATCAACGTTTGTTTGTTTACCTCTTTATTTTAGACAAACAGATCGAATGTTCACATTGCATTGATCTCAGTGCACTTAAAAGCGCCAGTGTTTATTGTGAACTTTTCTATACTACACGGTTCTTCATCGCATTCAATTTGAGTTTGGTTGGCTTTTGACTGGAAAAATGGTAAATTTTTGTTGCCCATTGAAGAAGAGTTCATTTGATACGATTAAGTGGATCGTTTTAATTTAATAAATTGTTTCTCAATACATTTTGAAATCTTCAAAAACACCCATTTTTTCTACTGATATTTTTTTTTAAAATACTCGTTTCAGAAAGTCATTTTGTGTGTCTGTGTTTTAATTGGATATGTTGCTTGTGTGGAGACAAATTCATACAGTTACATAGTGCCTCGTTGTTTAAATGGCACCACTGGATATTATCCAAAGTGTGAATGCGACGATATGTATGGATACAAAGAATTTCAACAAACGTGTGAATTAAAGTGTCCGACGATGAGCTCGGGTGAATTTCCATTGTGCTCATGTAGACACGAAACGGAGTATAACTTTTTTACAAATACATGTTCAAGTCCAAAATGTCCACCAAATAGCACGTATGATTCCGTTTATCCCAATTGCACATGCACCGAAAAGAACTATGTATACAATGAACATTTGAATGACTGCTTTCTCTCCTGCCCCGAAGATTCTTCGGGATATTTTCCCGATTGCAACTGTGACGACAAGATGAAGGGTTTTAATAAAGGTACGCCTGGTTTTTTTTTTTTCATTTTTTTTTTCCGAAGAAAAAAAATGACATTGGTTGAGTCTTTTCTTTTTTGAAAGTGATTGATGGTTGTTTAGAAGTCGTCATGGTTTAAAATTTAAATCTATCAATTTCAGATTTATTCAAATGTTTCAAATGTCCCAAAGAAAGCACGGTAGACAGCATTTATCCAAATTGTAAAACGGAGACAATCGTAAATTCAACATACAATGAATTCTACAACGAATATCGAACATGCCATCCTGGATCGTATGGAAAATATCCTGACTGCATTTGTGAAAATGGAAATGGTTCGACGAAAATCCATTAAAATTTCCAATTGCATTGGAATTCATTTGGTTTTCTTCATTTTAGTGTACATCGCCGAAGATACTCTACAATTAAAGGCCGGATGCTCCAATTGTCCGTTTAATGGAACCTATCCGAATTGCGTATGTCCAACTGGTATGGTGTTTGATGGCAGAAATTGTCAATCGTGTCCAGAGTTCGGAGTCTATCCGAACTGTACATGTACTGGAAGCGAAATATACGACATTGAAAGGGGTCTTTGTTTGAAGTGTCCCGTTAACAGGTAAATATTTTTACCTAATCGGAGCTTTTGATAAAATTGGATGACGGAAAAAGTTCGTCATTTTTTTTTGTCTATAAATTCTTAATCCTAATATCTCTCTTCAAAGCGTAACAATAAACAAGGTCATATTTCCCATTTCCAATAAAAAAGAAAATGTCCATGTTTTAATATAAAATGATGTTGTTCTTTCCCAGCCACGGACTCTATCCTCGGTGCAGATGTGATTATCCATTTTACTATAAGAAAAATTCGAATAAATGTGTAAGCTGTCCAAAAGATGCCTTCGGAATATACCCGAATTGCATGTGTGTCTATCGAGATTTTGGCTTCGACCGTGATCAAATCAAATGCATCAAATGTCCATCCGATTCAAGAGGTTCGACTTACTTTTTTTACGTTTTACTTTATAAAACGTGATTTAAAAGCATTTTTCTAAGTGACGAAATTGACTTTCTCTTTCCAGGACCATATCCAAACTGTGAATGTCATTCGAGTGATCATGTTTATATGCGAATCTCAAATCAGTGTGAGGTGCCATGTGAAAATGGTCATGATATCTATCCAAATTGTGATTGTGGCAATATGTTGAAATATTATTTTGATGTAAAAAGTCGAAAATGTCAACCGTATGCCACACCGGATCGACCGTGTCCACCGACTGCGATTGGAAGTAGCCCCAATTGCCATTGTGTTCAATATGGTCATTTCTTCATTCCATACGGATGGGGCTGTTTTAACGACAAAAATGTGTATATTTATCACGGTGGTATGCTTACACAGATTTGCACTGGCCCATTATGCGATCGATTCACGTACGAAATCAATCCAATACTTCTTAAGAGCTTAATTGGTTAAATTACTTCATATAAACCGTACCGAAATTATGCTCAAAGTGTCACACAGCTAGCGCCACGACGGAATTCAATGTAATCTATACTAAGTTGCCGCCAACTAGTAAAAATTTTCTCTTAAGACTTTTGTTCAGTTAAAAACAACTAACTAGAACTCCACAGTTGTCCGTAGTGGCGCTAGCTGTGCTACATTTTTGGATTTTATACAGTCTCTTATGGAACATAATTGCAGTGCGATATAAACTATATTCAAAATATTCATTATTAATTTTAAAATAAAATCCAATTAAGATTTTTAAACGTTTTTCATCATTTTATCTAGCATTTTATTATTCATTTTTGGACATTATTTGCTTTGAAAATATCAAAAGACTAACTATGACACAGTCACATTGGTATTTTGCATGAATCTAGCGCACGCAATTTTTGAATGTGGACTCGGTGGTTTTAAGGACGAACGAATACGCTTGACTGCATTTATTAGAGAGATCCACAAAATCACGCTCAATAACCTAATCATAGTGGTTGTAAGACTGAAAGTAGCACCAATACCAACAAAGTCACTTGGATCCTTTGATATTTTTAAGAAGTCCTCATATAACTTAGACTACTGTGTCTTGAATTGTATTGACGCCATGAATAATCGATAGAGCGTATTTCTGTGCAAACACAGTAAAGCATCCAAAACAGTAAAAATGAGTCATATCAACCAGTGAATGTCGTGAGTGTACAACTGTCACGATCACCAAACGTGACAACATGTCAAACAAAAATGCTGAGTTAATCATTTCGACAGTTTTGCCCGACGACGCAACAAGTAAACAAGTTTCGCAAAAAAACAACAGAACAGATATATCAACAAAGTTGGCAAAAGGTGATTAGTATTTCATGCCATATTGATTAAATGTAAAATACTTGAAATCACAAATTGAATTTTAAAATAGAGTTCATTTCGGTGAAGAAAAATATTGTCTTCCTTTTTTTTCTAGAAAAATCGGTTGAAACAAAATGGATCCAGTTTTGTCATTTCACTCAAAGACCGTGCATGCCATCATGCTCCAGAGCGAATCAATCGGTGATCTATACGATGTTAGTACGGCGGACATTTATTTTATGTGTATCGATGATGAAACAAAGTTGGTGCCGGCACACAAGTGCATTTTAGCATCGGACAGTCAAGTATTTCGTGAAATATTTTACGAAGGCGGTTCCGAACAAGTATTGCCGGATGATTGTCGAATCGAAACATTGTCTACATTTCTCCGGTCATTCTATTGTAATACTTACAAGATAAGTCGTGACATCATCGTCGACTTGACACAATTGGCGGAGAAATATGCGGCCACCAAATGTAAGCTTGCATGCTGGCGATTTCTCGATCAAATGACTCAGACAGCAGACGAAGATACCTTCGTGGTTCTGGATTTGGCGATCACATACAACAATAAGGCCGTACACGATTGCTGTGTAGAAAAGTTGAATTTGAATGGTTGTTTGTTGATCGAAACTGAAGCGTTTGTTTCATGCACCCAACAAGTGTTGGACCTCATACTTGGTTTGGCCTTTTTCAAACGTGACGAAGTTAAAATGTTTTTTGCTTGCATTAAATGGGCGAAATATCACTGTGAACGGGAAAAATTGGACGCAACACATGCGGAAAATATTCGTTTCATTCTCGGTGATAGTTTTTACTTGATTCATTTCGATCAAATGACCCCGATGCAATTCATTCAATGCCAAAGCTTGCATGCCAATGTCTTTGCTGCCGAGGATTTAAAGCGTATTTCTACAAGTATAATGGCAGCTCATGCACAGCCTGAAAATGAAATGGATGTAAAGATGACTTTAAAGCGACGCTTCATTAAAACATCGATCAACACGAATAAAATGGCATACAAATCCATTGAATCGATGTTTGGCGACTCACAAACGGCCAACGTTTTCTTTGTCTTTGATTCCAATGAAAATCAATTGAAATGCGTTTTTGCACACAAATGCATTTTAGCGGCCAAAAGTGACGTGTTCAAGAAATTGTTTACCGGTGAACCGCAACAATCCAATAACAACAATTATCCCGTTTCGGACGCAACACATCACGAATTCAATGCATTCATTCAAACTTTTTATTGCCAATTCAGTGATGGCATTATAAATACTGAAAATATGTACAAAATGATTATACTGGCCAGTTTGTATGAAGTCAATGGATTACTTGATGATTGCATTGAGTTTGCCATCAAATCATTGTGTTTTGAAAATGTTTTTCGCATTTTGGACGCATGTTTTGTGTATTCGAATGCCGATTCGGTGAGTGCATGTCTCAACTGGATCATCACCAATGAATGTGGCATGAATCAAGCATTTCATCGACATTCGCTGATCGGTTGCAATCATGGAACCGTCGAATTTGCACTCGGCTTGAATATTCCGAATCGACAGGAGGGACAAATATTCAAAGCAACCATCGAATGGGCCAGGAAATCATGCGAACGAAATGAAATTGAAGCAACTGTTGACAATTTGAAGATGGTATTGGGCAATGCATTCAACTTGATTCGATTCGCATCGATGAAACCGGAAGATTTTTTTGATTCGGAATTTAACGTTCAAGTGATGTTTGATGACAACAAAGAAAGCAACGATGATACCATGACCTACATCGAAGTAGATGAATGATTTACATCATTTATATGATATAAGAAAAGTTTATTTTATTATTAATTGATTCATTTTTACATTTTCATTAATAGTGTAGAAAATATGAAAAAATATTTGGAAAAATTCAATAAATGTATTGTAATGAAAAAAAAAAAGATCGAAAATTTTGCGAATGAAATTGTTTGTGTGAGTTTGCTGGATTTCAATTGGAATTTATCTCCACGGCTTCGTCAGCTAGTATTACAGTTTCATTTTATGAATACTTTTCATGTGTCTATTGAGACTGGTCTTTTGAGTAAAAGCACGACGGCACAGCTCACAACGAAAGCGTTTTTCACCAGAATGCTTCGCCATATGCCCTTCCAAATACATTCTTTTTGCACCAAAAAATTTCTCACATAAATGACAATGATAACACCGCCGACGACAGCTTCGCTCGTGTGCTTTGCATTTTGTTTGCTTCGTAAAACCTTCATGACAAATCGAACATTTGAATGGTTGCTTCTTGGTATGCAATTTCATGTGGACATCAAGATTGATTTTCTGTTTGAATTGCTTCAAACAATGTTGGCATTTGAATGGTCTGTTACCAGTATGTACGCGCATATGTTGTTCCAAATTCGTCTTCTTCGGTCCAATTAATTTACCACAAATGTAACATTCATAGACATTTCGATTGCATTTTTCTTCATGCAATTTCCGTTCATCCTGTTGTAAGAATCCTCGGCGACACTTTGAACAGCGGAACAATGGTGAAACAGCGTGCAATTTCATATGCTCATTTAAATTTTGCTTTGATGTAAATTGCTTCAAACATTCTTTGCATTCAAATGGTTTATTTCCACTGTGAACACGCATATGAGCAATAAAATTTGTTTTCAGCGATCCATAAGATTGCTTGCAAATATGGCATTCATAACGGAGTGTCTTGCAATTCGTCTGATGCTCATTCTTATCATCTTTGTCATCGAATCCTTCCAAACATCCATCGCAACGGAACAACAACTTTTTAACATGAGCTTTCTTGTGCCATTGGAGAGCTCGCTTGGTTGTGAAACGTTTTGCGCAGTAATCGCATCCGAATGGCTTTTTGTCACTATGTTTAAGCAAATGCCTGTCTAACTTCGACTTGAATTCGGCGCTATATTCGCAGACGTCACATTTATGTTTCTTTGATGCTGTCTTTTTTTGATCGCCACCTTTACCACCTCGATTCTTTACGTTGTTCCCTTCATTGCCAATATCCATCGACATTGGATTGTCTTCAGCTTGTGGTTGTTGTATCAGATTTTGATGACCATCACCTCGATCGTCTGCCGAATCGCCGCTCTTCTTCGAATTTTCTTCTTTCTTTTCATCGGTCTCTGTTTTCACTTCGGTCTTAACTTCGTCATAATTCAACTGTTCAAAATCATATTCGACGGGATATTCGTTGGAATCAAACACACCTCCAACATCGCGCTTATCCATTGCAGGAACGTCAATCAATACGCCAACAGACTGTGGTTCTTCTTTGATGTCCGTCTCTTGTTTGATTTCGGATGGATCAATGATACACTGAGTGCTGCTTTCGCCCATTGTCATTGACACGGTCTTCGACGGGATATTGTGACTGTTTTGTCAAGAAAATAATGAGCATGAAATAATTTTGATTGTCCATATCTCGTTTTTTTGTTCACTACAAAATGTAAAGTCACCAAATATTACTCACCTCCTGTTATTTTCCATTTGTAAATTTTTTTAATCGATTTTCAATGGTTCCGCACGCCTAATATTCTTTTTTAGGGAAAAACTGTTGGAAATATAGCAGATTTTCTTATAAAATCGCTTTGAACTCAAATTGCATCGAATTAGATAGTATGTTATGTCAATGGCTGTGATTTAGTTGCAAAAACGTGTTACTGCCTGTTTGATGTCGACAGCACAAGATACACATACTGAAAGAGACGAAGCGACAGTGAATAAGTCGACACAATAGTATGATCGGTTGGATTCGGACATCGGTCGTGCTTGCAAATGATTACGATTGTGTGAGAACAAATTAGGGTAGCTATAAACAAACCGATGATGCAAAAAAAAAAAACAGAAGGAAAAATTCAGATCAAAGAGTTCTCACTGTTGAATACAACAAAAAACACAACGAAAACTTGAAAACATTATCTCCAGTCTGAAAAAAAGTTCAAAAGCGCTGGACCCGTGAAAGATAAAAAAAATTGGTTACCCTAATGGACTCTGTATTGAGTGTGTTTCGTCGTGTGACTCTATCAATTAAGATTTCCCTCTCTTTTTCGATTCGATACAAAAGTCACTAGCCATTGTTAAACATTTGAATCTCTCTCTCTCTCTCCCTCTCTCCACCTCTCTCTCCTTCTCTCAACATTGCTCTCAACCAATCAATTTTTGATTTTGGTGGATTCGATAAAATTCATCGAAGGATTTTAAGATAATTTTTTAAAAGCCAAAAGTCTGAATTAAATCGAATTGTGTTGCGCCACTTTTAAACTAACTTCATAGTGAACACACACAGTTTTGTCAGAGCAGTTGAGCGCAACACCATTGACGCTTCGAACTTTATGGCAAATAGACGCTCATTCCACGTGCAATACACAAGTGAATCAAAAGGTAAGTAATCGATTTTCGCGATTTTTTAATAGATAAAATTGTAAAAGTGATTGGAATTTTTTAGAATTTTCCAGTTGTCATATGGAATCATTTGGGCTCATTACATTTTGTTGTAGAGGAATCAAAACGTGTCCAAATCGAAAATTGTATAGCTTCTAACCAACTGTCACTTGAACTCACTCAGTTTTTTTTGTTCATTTTTCTGTTCAATGTTAGATTCCAAGCAAGCCGAAAGCTAAAATTGATTTGGTGGCCATTAAATTATTGGTAAATAGCAGCAAAATGTATGATGGTCTGGAACCCATTGAAATTTCCGACGACGATGAGATTTCGATTTACGAAGATGAAGTTTCGATTTTAAACATCAAAACACGTAAGTCTCTTTTTTTCTCTAGTACTGAATGGCATTGCCTTGTATTTAGTTGGCGAATGTAAGATTTTAGTCATCGAAAATATCTCATTAGTCGCTATTTTCATACAGCATGAACCATGAATTATATTCCTAAATCTACCATCCAAGCATGAGATATTTCAATTTTCTGAACAAAAAAACTCACAGTACAATACAATATCAGAGCACGTGTCAGTGACCTGTTGTTCTGTCAAGCTCTAATAAATTCCGATTAAAACCAATTCCCTGTTTTTGTGTCCGTTTGTCAAATAGCTGCTCCGCTAATGGCCGACGAGCGAAAACTATATTGGGCCGACAAAACGCGAAAGAATAATGTGATTGCCTCTTGGAAGCAATGTGAGCTCTTATCGCGTCAAGTCTATGTCAACGAATTCGAGGAGGAGCAAGAAATGTGTTTGATTAACATGTTTGATCGTAAACTAGAGGTACCAAATTACAAATTGGCCATGGCAAAATCGTCACGACAGGACTATCACAATTATAGTCGAGTATTGGCATTTCGTAAACGTGTTGATTTACCGTACATCATCAATGAATTCAATCAAATGGAAGAATTGTATCCCAGTCAAGATAACGAACCATATGCGGGTATGATTGCATCCAGAAGCAATGTAAATGACCACTTTTACATGGTTTTCTTTGACGATGGGCATGTTCAGAAGATCAATTGGAAGGATATTCGATTGGTGCTGGGAAATGACGGCTTGTCACATGGTAAGTACAACTTATTTGTTTGCCGCTTATGAATTCGAATTATGATCACAATCAATTCTACCTTATCCTTCACAGTTCATTCCAATGCAAAGAAATACTTTGAATTTTTCGCATCGCTTTCACGTCGTCACGAAATAGACATGACCAAACTGGACATTGGACATTTTCTATGGGTTGAATGCAATGGTGAATGGATCATTGGCGAAGTCAAAGATAAAGACAAGGAATTACCGTTGATTCAATTTGAATTGACTAATGGCCGTCATGAATGGTTGTACTCTGGATCGCCACGTATCGGACGAGTTTGGAGACATTTTATTAATTTGAAATTGCTTGATGCATCGCTTCAGTTTAATTTCATGCCAGAAGTGGTAGATAACAGCGATAATGACTGCATTCTCATCGAATTACCAATTGTTCAACCTCGAACACGCCAACAAGCCATCGAATCAACAATCATCCCATTGGTTAATTCGTCGAATCTACGATTACGCTCGAACCATCAATGCAATCACAATTGTATCGAACTGGAAGACAAGGCCGATCTGACTGGATGCGGCTTGTTTCAACGTCCTTTGGCCATTGGGTTTGAACGAGTCAAATCAGGGTATGTGGCTCCATGTGGTCAAGTTTTAAAAGATTACAAAGCCATCGAGCAGTATTTGGCAACGACAAAGGCAAAAAAGATACGGATCGACTCATTTTCATTGGACAAAGACTTCGATCCGTCAGCCAACTTTTGCTCAAAAGCAGTTAAAAACCCGGTAAGTGGCAATCAAATTGCTGGGAAGGACTGAAACACTGAGAAGGAGATATATATGACATATGTTAACGATTTTTTCTATCTTTTTTTTACCATCGAAAGGACATATCATTCGGAAAGGAAAAGATACCGATATCAGCAAGCGATAAGCCACTCAATTTGGACGAAAATCTTGACGAAAATTTCAACTACATTACTGATTATCGATTTCCAAATGACTATTTGACGCCCAACATCCGGACGCAATGTTGTGACTGCACAGATAACTGTGCCAACAAGGTAATATTACAAATTCTTCCATTTATTATATGATTTTAATGTCATTTGTTCCTTTGTTTCATAGTTAAAATGCAGTTGCTGGCATTTGACCGTTGAAAAAGCCATCGGACGAAAACCAAACCAGTCAGACTTGAAAGAATATAAAAACTATGGTTACATACGTTCTCGCCTGTGTGATACCGAGCGATTGGAAAATGGAATCGTTGAATGTGGCGAAAATTGTAAATGCTCAAAAGAGGCGTGTGTGAATCGTGTGGTACAACACGGTTTACAATTAAATTTACAGGTTTTCGACACAAAATCCCGAGGCCGTGGCGTACGTACGCTGACCGATATACCAGCAAAAACATTTGTTGTCAGCTACTATGGTGAAGTGATCGATCAAAATGACGCAGAAGGTCGAACATTTACGTATTTTTTTTCGTTGGGCCATCAATCGATTGCGACACCAAACTTGGATGATAGGCCAAGTCATGCAAAGAGACCACGAATCAATACAGACGACCACGATGTCAAACAAGTATTCGTGAATTTCTTTCCAACATATATTACATGGCCGAAAGACACCGACTCCAGTTCGGATGATGAAAGCGATACCGATGACAAAGATAGCGCAAAGAAACATAAAATCGAATATGTTGTCGATAGCAATAACTTTGGCAATGTTAGCCGCTTTTTCAACGTAAGTTTTGACCCCGTTTTTTAGTGACAAAGGTCAATTTTTCAATTAAATGTCATTTTTATTTTTGCAGCATTCATGCGAACCAAATATGTTTGCTCAAGATGTGTTTTTGAATGATTTCAAATTTCCAACGTTGGCGTTTTTTACTAACACAGTTGTCAAAGCCGGCACTGAACTTACGTTCGACTACGCATATAATGAAGACGATAAGTACAAGACGAAATGCTTATGTGGAGCCAGATCGTGTCGCAAACGACTGATTTAATCGCATGATGATTAGCATGAATAAGCACGATTTTGATATGCCATGATTTTACCTTGTTATTACCATTTTTTGAATGTAATTTTAATAGCAAATTTCCATTTTTCAAGTCTACTTTTGTAAAGTAGCAATAATACTGCATGAGAATGCTCATTTTTTTATTCAACAGTTTTATAACTTCATTAAGGATTAAGAATTAATATTGAGTACAATACAAAAAATGATCCATCCAAAAAAAATCAAACATAGCAAATTACCGATGGCAATTGAAAAATATCGCTAAAGCGATACTGAATGTAACGCTGAAAATAGAGGAAAAAGCAATGATATTTCTTCGCAATAAATATTTTAACTAAAATTCTCGTTTTTCTTTCATCAATTTCACAGATAAAAATCTTTTTTAAAGAATCTAGAGCAGGGCATCAAAGTAATGGCCAAAGCTGGTTGGTATAACATCAATTGAAAAGGTCTCCAATAGAACTCCATGTGATCAGTTCTATTTACGATTCCCCACGTTGAGCTAAAGGCCCGGTGTACTTGGGCAATTTGTTGTTTTCTTTAACCCCTTTGAATAAAAACCTAATTAAAAAGGGAAAACCGAGAAGAAAAACTGCGAAACTAAATAATTTTGTCTTTGCTCTGTAATTTTTTGAATTTCGTGCATAAACTTTTATCTTTAATTAGATGGATTGATATCTTTCAATAGAATTCTTCCCAAAACCATAAGTTTCGTTCATGACGACAGTATCATTCAAATAAATCGTAAATGATTTCATTTAAATTAGGCGCTCTTCAAAACAATTGACATCGATTTGACAAAACATTACTTTTTTTCACATCAGTCGCGTCAAATGTCAAGACGCTTTGCTATGGCGCTACAACTGTCAATCATTATACCCATTTTGTGAACTTCGTGTAAAATTGCTTTAAATTGCTGTGCAAATACCGTTTAATTCGTGTGTTATCCATTAGTTTTGTGAATTTAGCTGTAATTGATTTCAATGGCATTGTTTTGATGAGTGTTTTCAAAGGTAAGTCGAGCAAATATGTCGGTGTCCCAACTGTTGGAGAAAATAGCAAAAGAAAAACGGAGAAAATTTCCGGCATTGATTACGTGATCCGTTTTATAAAGTTCTGGTCGTGGTTCATAGAGTAAGAGAGGTGGTAATTAGTCAAGTTAAAACTTGCAACAACAATAAATACAGATACATGAGCCGACCGAGTCATGAAATCCAGTTTGTCGCCCTTAAAATAGTTGTTTCTTGGTTTTTCTAATGTTTGTCGATGTTTTGTCTGATTCACAGTTAAAATGGAAGCATCTAATTGGCACGATGAACTGAACAAATTGGCTGGAGCCATTGAACCACAAACCATTGCATCTTTGCAACGAATCAATAACAATGGCATGCCATTTGATGACCGATTCAAGCAGCAGTTTTTGAATTTCATCAGTGAAAGGTAAAAATGGTATTTTTGCTATCTTCTTTATTTTTGTAATTCTTCACATTTTAGGATGAGTCAAACGTACGATCGTCTTCGAAGCCAACAGTCGGATCAGTGCCAAGAGACAAAACAGATTGAAGATTGTACAGTGCCGGAGACAGTTCATCATCAACCATCGTTGGATTGTACACGTTCCACGATTACAAACGACGTCATTTCATTCACCGTTCAGTTAGATTCGGAACGTCCAGGGGTTCAGAGCACAGAAGTTACGCTGGTACCGTCGACATGTGGAGTACAAACACCGAATACCAGTCAATTGCAGTCCGACGTGAAACCAGTCATCGATTCGAATGAGAACCATCTCATTGAAATATCGCAAGATCAGTGCGATGTCCGAATGCCTGAATTTCTCATGAATTTTGACTCACAAAAGAGTGTAGACACAGCATCACTAAAAAGGAAATGGTCGACTGGTGATGAAAGTCAGCGGAACGATGAAGTAATTAAAAGACTCAAGAAGGACAGTGTCAATAATGTAGTTGGTAAGAATTTGTGCTTAATTTTTCATGGAATGGTGTTTTGCCAAATCAACACCAACAGTCTATACTCTCTGCTTTTGTTTATTCCCATATTTCAGATCATGATCTCATCGTCAGTGAGATGAAAGCTAGCTGTTCACGAAGCATCGATGCAACCATGTGCCAATCGTTGGTGCAAGAAGTACCCAAAGAGGCCAAAAATGGTATCAACACTATTGGTAAGAAATATTTTATTGCATTACATTGCGGCGTCCTGCTAAGGAAACAACAGCGACAAACATTCGCTTTGGTAAAAAAAAATACTTCGCTCTTTTTGATTCAGACATATTTTGATACAATATTTCGTATTTTTTTGCTCTAAAGCGATTTTTTTGTTCATATTGCATTATATTTTCAGTTACTCTAGTATTTGAAATTATTCCACTTCGATTACACAACAATATTTGTGTGACTGAAAAATTGCGACTTCTAGTAAATAATTTTCCAAAAGAACTCATTTTCTTGAATTTTTTCTCAGGTACATTGGAACAGAGCATAAGCAAAAAGGGTGCTGAATCCGATAATGTTGAAAAATTAACAAATTCAATGGAATTGAGTGGATCCAAGGTTAACAATTTCAATGAAATAGTAATCGACTGTGCACAAAGCTCAGGGGCTTCAATAATTCACACAGAGGTTGAACAGTTCAAAGGAAACGATGGTATCACCAGTGATGGTAAGAGAATATTTGAATTAGGACTATTATGTTTGAGCTTACAGTACAGATACTGCCAAAATCAACTAGATTTACGAAATATTACAATATTAGTATTTTTTCTAAAGATTAGTATTTGTACGAAATAGCCTGCGTCATCTGTAAATTTATCCTTAGAAAAAAAATGTTAAACTTTAGAAGTACTTCACAGTTCACACAGTAGGTCGTCTCATGCATAGTTCCAGAGTTTATACCCAGGTCATGAACAGATGGAAAATAACAGTATTTTCCAAAAGTATCCAAAAGTAGAAGATCGTGACCGAATGTCAAAGGCATTTATCTTTTTTTTTTTTTTAGTGTTTATTTTAATCAAAAAACTATTTACAAGAGGTCTTATTATTTAACTAATGTAATTATGTAAGAGGTCTTATTATTTAACTTATACATAATTAGAATTTCGTTTAGTGAGGCTGTTTGAAGCCTCTTATCTAAATGCTGTTGTAGAATTAGTCTCGTCAATAATATAATTAAATTGAATTGTTTTGTATTTTTGGGAAAATATGAAAAACCAATATTGCTATTACCCAAGGAGGTATAAAAGGAGAGAAATTTTCTTTATTGATTTAGATAAATATTGTTACGATTGTGTTTGCCAACATGAAATTCAGTTAATCTGTCTATATTGTCAAAAAGCAAGCCCTCGTCTCATTTATGCTGTAGCTACACGCTGTTATACTATATTTGAATCGGTTAGAATATTCGTGAACTCAAGAAATTTGTTAAAGTAAAAGAGCAACATGTTCATATAAAAAATGCTGCAGTTTTATTTTGACAAATTTCTTCAGGTCACGAATATTTTAGCCTATTCGTATGTTCTCTAAATGTTTCGATAATTCCCCAAAGGCTCTTTATCTCTTTTTTAGACTGTCTATTTACTCAAATACTGAATTGCTTCGGTTGTACATAATTTTCCAAAAATGAACGCAAACTAGAAAACAACCTGTTCCAATTGCGAATATTTTCACTGTATGCACTCTCTGTGTACTATTTCAGTGAGTTTTGGTGTCATTGTACGAGAGAAGAAAAAATCAAGAGGGCATAGACCTAATGGTTTTTGCTTTGTATGACTTTCAAGACAATAATGAATTAATGAAAAAATTTACAGCGGCTATTTAAAAAAAAATATTAAGAAAGAAGAGTGAGAAAAAGTGATAGGGAGAGAGAGAGAGAGGGGGAGAGGGAAGCAAGAGAGACAGAGAAATTTAAAAAGAAAGAGAGAAAAAGGTAGCTAGCGAGAGAGAAAGGTGAGTAAGTTAGAAAGAGTATGAGTGAGAGAGAGTGAGAGAGAGTGAGAGATAAATAATGAGTCCGAGAAAGATTGTAAAAATAAGAAAAGACCATTCCCCCAAACTACTGTAAATTTATTTCAATCAATTTCAACATTACTTTCAGAACTGAATCGCACCACTGTCGAAGAAATGATATTTAGCTGTGCACTATGCCCATACCAAGCCACCGAGTACAAACCCTCTGTCGAAGCATTGTATCCACATTGGTTGTCTGTGCATTCATCGGAGCCGTTCCAATATCACGTGCATATTACGATGCGTTGTATCTACTGTGATCATGCTGCCCCATACCACCAATTGGTCGACCATCACCGTAAACAGCATTCCGGCCACCCCTTCGTCGTGGTCAATCTACACAACAATTTCAAATGTGGCTTATGTACATCGCCAACATTCGAAACAAAATCCGAGCTAATCGCGCACTTCAACAACACTCATGAATCCTATTTACAAGCAAGTCCATTGAATCCAATCATATTGGATGATAAAACACTTCTAAAATTATTGTCGCAAAATGCGAATCGATATCGTTGCCTGAACTGTGATCGCATCTTCGAGTCCCTCGTTGAAATTGCATTCCACCATACAATCGATCATGCGGACACCGAAATATCCATGGAACCGATCATCAAAAGTCTTGAACCGCAAATGATCTGTGATTATTGTCACATGAAAATTGTCGACCGTGAAAAGTACTTAAATCACATCGAAGAACACGAATACCGGTTCGACTGTGGAAAATGCAATTTTAAAACGGGCAAATTGATCGAAGTGGTGATGCATGATAAGCAGCAACATCGTAACAGTTCATTAAACTACCGTTGCTTGGAATTTTGTGAGATGTTGAAGCGACATTTTTCCAACACACGAGTCGTGTTCGAGAATGGGCTGGTTCTATTCAATCACAATTTGATCAATACAAATTATGGTGGCATAAAAATTCTTATCGATATTTTCTGTGAGGATTTGATGAAAATTATCAAACAAAAATATAAAGCCGAACATGAATCCGGCGAATTAAATTCGGTGAACATTACTGTGGAACCGACACCGACCATCGGCACTCCGGCAGTAAATCCAATTCCAAATGTTAAACGGCCAACTATTTCGACGCGATCATTGAATATGAGAGCATTACGTGCACAAAATCGTCTTATTAATAATTTGTGCATTTATGGCATTCCGTATTTTAACAATGAAAATAAAGAGGCCATATTTTTAAGCTTGTGTTGGAAATTACAGGTGAACATATTTCCACGGGACATTGTGAAAATCACGCGGAGCCCAGGTAAAAATGCACCACTCATCGTTGAGCTCAAGAAGTTTTGTATGAAAGAGCGCATTTTACAGAGTGCCTATATGCAACAATTGTGGTCATCGGACTTGATTCATTTACCTTTTGGAGTAGCACCGATACGAGTTTTTATCAACATTCATACAACAAAAGTGTACGGCCATATGGCGAAAATTGCACGGAATGCCATGAAAAATAATACGCTACACACATTTTGGATTACGAAATTTGGATTTTTGGTTAAACGAACCGTGAACAGCAAAGATAAAATCGTGTTGTCAACCGATGAACTGGTTAGTTACATCAATCAACGCAAACAACCGACTATCAATCGCAACAAACCATTTTATCGACCAATTGAATGGGTACCGAAATCAACGATTTAGTGGCGGGAACATCAAAAATAGATAATCTAATTTTATCTCGGTTAAGAAAATAAAGAGGACTGGAGATTAGAGCAGAGATATAGCCGCAACATTTTTACTTGCATAAAAAAAATACCAAGGGAGATTCAACTAAAAATTTAAAGATAAAATTGTTTGTTTTTTTTCAGTCTCAAAAAGAAGAAAACCCGTTATCTCAACTCGAAACAAATTGTGATAAATCTAAACACATTTTTTAATCATGTAATAAATATTTAATCATTCAAGCCTTGAACTACAAGGCATTTATGCTTATAAGCATATATTTGTGAAAATATCTTCAATTATGAAATACAATAAAAACCACAAATCTATTGAAAATATCGAGAGGAGAGTATGTTTTTATTCAGACATTACTCAGCCATAAGCGCTGAATAACATACTCTCTTCTCGATATATTTAATAAAAATGATTCAAGCAATCATCCAGAAATTCAATTTTTCAATAAGTCACTTTTTTCAATGGTAGACGATGGTAGATTTGCTGTTTGAATCGACTACTATGATATAATTGCATTTCTTTTACAGGCACATATATGAAAAAAGATGAAAAAATGGTATTGCTGGTGGTGCAGCACTGATGTTAATAAATTAGCTTGAAAAAAAAGAAGTAAAAAAAATGTCAAACAAGAAGGCAAATGTACCGTCTTGAGTGTAGATTACTCTCGAATGTCAAATGATTGACACACATACACCAAATGACAACCGCATTTTATTAGACAAACACGAATACATACTAACGCATTTACTGTCAATCAATTTTTTCTGCGCGTCATACTTGCTGCTGTTCCAGGTCGTGTATATCAAGCAATAGGTGAAAAAAGTAAAAAAAAATCAATCTGCTATTTATTTTTCAATCAACTCTAATTGTTTCATTCCCGCAGGCAATATATTGAATTAACTGGTCAGTTGAGCTGACAGTACGTTAGCCAGCTAAATGGGCTAAAACAATAGACGTTATTGTTTTAATGATGAATCACTTTTCTTGTTTTAATAGAAGTGATTGTTCATTATAACAATAACTTCTATTGTTTGAGTCCCGTTTCTTAATTTTGTGAATTTTCAGGCGGACTTAAATACCGGAACCAAGAATCAGTGTGTGGTTATGTCGAATAGTCAGACTTACAATCAAAACATGGATCCATCCAAAATATGGATACGAAATACGGGACCGGGCAGTATGCGAAAGTATCCCCCAAGACATCACTATAATCGAAACCATCGAAAACCAATCGAACCGACCCAATCAATGCAAAATACCATAACTGTTCGACCGGCGACAGAAAAAGTGTGTAATACAGCCGAATTAAATCCGCACCGCTCATCACAAGACGAAATAAGTGATTCGGTCATTTTTCAAAAACCAAAAAATCCAAAGGGTCCAGCGAGCGATAAGCGTGCATCAAATATGTTAACATTGGGCGAAACAAATAAATCAGTGGGTACCCAACAATCGAACCAATTCATAAAAAATCGCAATACAGAAGAATGGTCGTCGAGTATGTTTGCAATAGATAACAAGAGTCGGTCAAATGTATTTCAAAAGCGCGATGACACCGAGAAAAATTTAGTAATTGACATCAGTGATACAACACTCTATGAATCGTGTCGAGACGACAGTGTGGGTAATTATACCAAATTTGAGATAAGCGGAATAAAACCACTGGAAATCACGCCAACAGTTCAATTGGATGAAACGGTGGACAAGACTCTGGTCGGACCAATTGAAACATCCACAACTTTCACACTCCCCGAGCTATCACCCGTGCTATCAGACATCTCCGATGATGATGCAATTGCCGAAAGCACCGTCATCGAACATAATTCGACAGAAGGGCATAACACTTGTGTACGCATTGAAAAAGCAGCAAGTGATCTATGGAATTTGAACATTGGAAACAGTAAGTATTGAATTTCATACACACAAAAAAAATGCGCCAAAAAAGTACAAAAATTCAAATTTTCAGAAGCAAAGAAAACGCATGAAATAGATACCGATCTAACGCTGGTACCAACATACTTGCAATTCACGGCGGAGAAAATTAAGAAAACACCACGATTACATACAAAGCCAAACATAATGCCATTGGCCAAAGAAATGCTGCCGTCAACATCGACCGATGAATTCATTCAGGTGGTGTACATGCGTGAAACGACCGTTAATCGACTCATCAAAAGTGGATACATTAGCTTTGTGCAAGGAAAACTACATTATATCGAACAAGACACCGATGACATCTAAATTTGTGACCAGAGTCACATTTGGAGGATACGTATAAGGACACAGACAAAGGAGTTCAGTTACTTCGATACAAATTGACCATAGACAGTTGTAAACATAGATTTTTTCATGTATAAGTTTATAACGAGAGAAATACACCATTAAAGTATAGAGAAATTGCTTCCCACTCTGTCACACAATCGGTACCAATTAGTTTGTCATTGGAGTGTTGGAAAACTCCGCCCAAAACCATGTCTAAATTGATCGATGGAACTTGCGCAAAGGTGAGACGGAATGTAAGAGGAAAGTATGAGAGAAAAAGTTCCATTTTTTACGTGGAAAAGCGTTACGTGCATGACGTACGATAGATGGCGCTAGTAGGGTGGTGTTCGAAACGGAGCTCACAACGAACAATATTTGACTTCGTACTCACATTCAATTTTGGGAATTTAAATTGATTTTTTTTTTTTTTTAAAGAGGGACATTCGCAGTTTTAGAAGAAAATCATGAATTTCAGTTCAATCAGAAAAATTATTACAATAAAAGTCATCAAAATTCTATAGAACATATCAAATTCCTTGGTACTAAACACAGACCAATCGACGCAGTACATGGAAGGAATTTCCAATGAGATTTGCATTAAATTTCGTAAAATGGAGAAATTTCCTTTGATTTTCGACATTTTTTTCCCATTTAATAGGTTCTTTCAATTTTTTGAAAGCATTTTTTTATTTTCTTCCAATTTTATGAAAGCTAAAAATTAAAACCGAAAATTCCACAACACCCGTATCAATTTTAGTACACACCAAGCGGTTCAATTCAACGGATACATTTCAAAAGTTTGCAAAACGTCGCTATAGATATGTCTCTTTCCCACACTCAATTGTCTTCCCATCGAATCATGCAAAGTACTCAAAACATGGTGGTGTGTTTGTCTTTGTCGCGCACCATAAGCGAGACGGGTCTGTGTGTATGTGTTGTGTTATTCATAGTATGCCGTTGTTGTCTCAATGAATGTGTGTGTTATTCTGTCTCTATGAGTGTATGCCTGTGTTTGTGTATGGGTGCGCGTTTGTTCGTATGGCCATATCTATGAGAAATGACAAAAGACACATAGAAACAATAGTAGTCAATCAAAGTGTATATATATAATAAAGTGATTCTCTTACTCGCACATACCACAAAGTGAATCCAATTTGGATTCACGTTTGAATTTTTCGCTCTCACTCTATCTCAGTCATTCGTGAATATTCATCGGACTAAGCAGCAGCAGCACACGACAATTGTCTGTAAGCAAACAAAGTGGTGTATAAATCGAAGTGAACACATTCAGTATTATAATAAAAACATGAACGACACCCGAACATTTTGCAATTTAAAATATTGAAAAGTTGAAAAGGTGTATCAGAATTTCAACCAAAACAGAAAAAGAAGAAGAAGAAGAAGAAGAGTGTATTAGGGCGAGAGTGTGTGTGTCTGTAAAAGAGGCCAAATGCACGCCACCAATAAGAACGCCACTCATTTGGCAAAATAACAACATGACATGCATAGAACAGTGTGCTTAAGTTGAATTGAACCGTGATTAATTGACAGATATCCAAATATTTACATTTGCTATTGACATTCTCGAATAAAAGCAACTAAAATGAAGACAAAAGTGACCAAAATTTGAATACGACGACGAAACCAAATAAGTGACAAACAAAAATGAGCTACTGTAAAAATTGGTACGAATGTCGGTCATTGCAGTGTATCATCGTCATTCATCATCGATTTATCAATGAATGTATGCGCACGATGATTTTTTAAAGAAGGAATTTATCGAATCGTTGATTGTTTTGTGGTATTCACATTCGGTGTGTGTGCGCAATTTTTCTTTTTTAAATGCAATTGCATGTTTGAGTGTGTGTGAGTGTGCCGAAAAGCCATTAGAGAAGAAAATTACTAAGCAAGCTATTGTGCAAACGGCAAAACGACACAAATAAATATCTGTTTCAGTGCATTTTTTTTTTGTTTCGTTCGGTACGTGCATGCGACATACATACATCAAAACAAGTGAAGTGTTTCTGCAGCCGCTGCCCGACACAAAACAACAACAATAGCCCAAAGCAACTAGAGAGACGCACTGCAGACGAACATAAATCACAAATCAGGTACAAGATTCTATTTAGAATCTGCATTCATTTTCTATTTCTTCTTTTTTCTCATGAAGTGAAGGGAGAGGGGGAGCTCTTTGTTTCGGACATGCAAATCTAATATTGCCAAAGTAAACACTCGACTCGAAAATAGAAGCAAATCATAATATTAAAAAAAAAAATGAAAACAAATCCAGGCTTTCTTTTTCTATTAAAAAAATCGCATAAAATAACTATATAGACATACACTCTCTCTTTCTCGCTTTGATGTGCTGTCAAAATGTGTGTAATGCATTCGTCGAGGCCTTTCTCGATTATGCTTTGGGTGTGCGAGTGTTGAAAAATATTTGCTTGTTTTCTTCATTTCCATCATTCGCTCATAATTTTTTTCTTCTCTCTTCTTACTTGGCGACGCCGTCTTCGCATCAAAATACAAACCACCGTATGTCTATGTGTGTGTATGGTGTGTTGTGTTTTTTTTTTTTGCGTCGCTCATCGTTAGTACCATATCCCTTGAGTGAGCGAAAGATTTCTTCGTCTTTCACACCACATTCAGTTTTCGTTGTGAGTACGTGTTTGCATCAAAATGCCATTGCGTTTTTGGAACGGTTCATCACGTATTGTATTGTGTCAGTCAATGTTTTTTTTGTATATTCATACACTCTATGTGTTGCTCTTTCCCTCTTGCTCTTTTTCTATCCTCTCTCTCTGCTATGTCGCTCCTATCCAGTGCGATTTAAATTTATCGTTTGGACGCTGTTTTGAGCGACTCTAAACACACACACACACACGCATGTATGAAATGTATATAAATAAATAATGAAAATGACACAAAAGGAAGAAGAATAACAAACACCGAATATGATTGATGTGCTCAAGTCCTTCTTGCTTTATTCATTTTGTGGCGCATTCAAATTGCCTGCCAAAGAAATGGACCTAAAAAAGAACCGACCTCCAACGACAGACCGTCTTTGAACCTTTCACAGGAAAACATCATTTTCTAAATCGAAATTTGTTATTTTTTTTTTAATCCTAAAGGAATCCATTAAATTTTTCATCGAGTTGAATCACCCGTTCGGTGTCTACACACAGACACACGAAGGCCAAATGAGAATTTTTCTTTCAAAATACCACACACGCGGCATTTTTTTCTCTTTCGTTCAATGAATTTTTAGAAATGGTCGATCGCGAACATTAAATAAACAACAATAGTTGAATAGCCTGCATTAAACTAAGGCCAGGGGATAAGAGAGAAAGAGAATGGGCATTTTGGGCGAATAGTAGATGAGAGCAAGAGTAGGAGTGTAAGAGCGAGAAAAAGAGAGCAAATAAAATCGTAAAGGGATGAGTGGGAGCGATGGAGAGATAGATAGACTGAGAAAGAACAAGAGAGTTGAATGGAATGTGTGTGATGGTGGAAACGTGACGACCAATAAACTTTACTCTATATCCAACGTAAACATTCATCATCATATGTTTCGTAAATTGATTTGAATTGAGCGATGCGAGAGCAACAACAAACAAAAAAAAATGTGAATTGACCGAGAAAAGAATGTGCAAGACTAAACAATTTTCTGAAATTGAATTTTTTTTTATTAACACACATCAGGCAACTGGTGAATTAAAACGATTTCATGAGATGCAAATGTGTTTTTTTGTTTTTTTCCACAATGATAATTGTAATTCGGACTCTTGCCAAAGCTTGTTATTTTCTAGGCATTTACAGCCAACGAAAAACATCGTATAGAACAAGCAAAAACATCGCATAGAACAAAGTAAAAGACTCCCGCTGCAGTAAAAGCAACAACAAACCACTTAAAAACGTAGAAATAATTGAGTGGAAAAATTGTGTGCGTCATGCGGCATTGAATGCAACAAAAATGTCTAATTTGAACACAAAATCGATGGGTTTTATTTCATCAAAAAGAATGTGCCCAATTTGCAAAGTAATTTCATACAACAACAACAACAAAAACCGTATAATGATCGTCTACATGAGAAGATATAAAATTAAACGATTCTATATTCGAAAAGAACGTTCGTTTTTTGAAATTCTAGCTTCAGCCTCATAAAATGCCCACTAAAAAGCACGAATGAGATAAACAATGTTTTGAAGCATTGAATCATTCACGATTTCGTCATTTATAAATGCACCTTCTTAGTTGTGGCACGGCGCGGCATATTTCAGTCTTGCCAAATTGATTTTTCGATTCGTTCGAATTGCTATGTATGGACGGGCGACGTTATCGACATGCTTCATTCTAATTGCGCTGTGTTTTGATATTGACATCAATGTCTCAATGTAAAATCGGGCGATTCATAGAATATCGCGCCGTGTGTATTGTTGACACAGTTTTTTTTATTGATTTGAAAGAGAGAAAACCACAGAATTCCAGTGCAATATTGCGCTTTTGTTTTTGTTTTTGTTCGTTTGCCATTGAAATGTAATTGACGATCATTTTTCACGGAGAAAGAACGAACACTATCATAAATGCTGTTGTTGTTTTTTCGTTTGTTTGCTTTTTGTTATACAGATAAAACACTATTTAAAAGTTGTTTCTTTCATCACTTTTCTCGATTTCTCTGCGTGTAATGCGATAGCGATTAGTAATCGAGAGACGAACGGTGTACATGAGAAGACGGATGCATATACGTATGTGTTTTTATTTTTATTTTCGTTTCCATTTTCATAATGTATATTTATTATGTGAATGACACTGAAAATAAGAAAGACAACGACATTGCTCACATTGCTAGTTTGTTCGGGTCGCACATGACACACGCTTTCCTCTCAATGTATATAAAAGATGTACGAATATATATATCGACGATTTGTTGGGTGTTTTTTTTTTTAATTTTAAATATAAATTTAGCACACACACGCGACTAACATCTTTCTAACACACAAAATTATCTGGTCGCAGTAAATGTGGTTCGAACTGTGCTTTTTATGATACTTCCTTCGACTTTTTTTGTACAGAAAACACGAAGATTGTTTGAAATGCGAATGAAAAAAAGAGATGATGACGACGGATGCGAAATGAGAATGATTCGATTGACGTAAATTGTTGGCAATTGAATCGGTTTTTTTGCGAAAGTATCGATTGAGAGCGAGAACACTTTATTTGTCAAATGAAACGGAAATTCGAATGTACTCGCGGTGTTATTTGAAGGAAGACATACAGAGATAGAGACGAGATAGAGAGAGGAGAGTGAGAGAGATAGAGAGAGCGAGGAAGAGATAGAGAGAGGCAGAAGAGAAAGGGATAGAAAACAGATGGAAAGCTATAAAGACTCAAAGCCCCAATAGAAATGAAAAATTTATTCAAAAAGCCCCACGACAGAGATGAAAATCAAGGAAACCACAAAAGCGATAGATTAAAAAAGAAAAGAGAAAAATGATGAAAAACTGAGAAGGAAAATAATTTCAAGCCGAGCTTCGAAAGCGCTTGCTTCTTCAAATAATCGAAAAAATGAATGAAAATGTTTACACGGCGTTTGAAAAATTTACGTCCTGTGCTATAAATGTAAAAAAAAGTGCGAATTCCATGTGAATGACGTGAAAAAAGCGCCAACCGTTCAAAAATAGCTCTCATCTTAATTGAAAAAAGACTTCATAATGAATGAATTGTGTCTTTTTTTCTCCTCTTGCTGTGTTAATTAAAACAATTTCACTATGTCGCCCCCAAACGTGTGTCTATTTCGCCTTTACATATATATATATCGCAAAAAATAAAATAGTGCAAAGTCGATGCAAAGTCGATTCGTAGGCAACAGCTGAATCAAAGTCGAATTTGAATTTCCGTAACGTTGACACGAAGAACGAATCGAGAAAAAAAAGGTCGCAACAACAAAACCTCTAAATAGAAAAGAGAATATGTGGCGTCACACGCAAACCAAATGAATTCATTGTTTATATTACCGCCCCACATTCAATTCAATTCGAAACACAAAAAATTCATCATTCAACAACGGAATCGCATACACACACACACGCCGGGCAGCGGCTCAACAAACGGCATCAGACGCCAACACACGACACCGCTCGATCTCATCATATATAAACAAATCATATCGATATTTTCGTGTCGCTTTTTTTTGCTTGCTTTCGCTGTTTGGCGTGCAAAAATTACATAATTTTGTCAAGTGGGTTTAATAGTTCCTTATATTGAGTGGTAATCGAAAATTGACTTGGTACCGTTCGCTACTAAAAATCGATTCTCTTGAAACCCCTACAACGGCCAAAATACCAATTTTTGTATTTCAATTGTCATTCAGGTTTGACGTCGATTGCCAATTAAGAAACGAAAAATCTATTTCATTGCCTGTCAATTGATTGAATCGGAGCCCGTCGCGGTTTGCTTTTGAATGGAATATATCATTGAGCACTCAATTTATTTAGACACGCGAGCGATTTCTTTTTTCTTCTTCTTATTCTTTTGTTTGTTGGAAAATTAGAAATTTAAAGAAGTTTCGCCTGATTTGACTTGCATTTTTTTGACATTATTCAATGTGCTTCCGCATAAAATCAAATTTGATTAGCACATTATCGTCAATCGAACCGAAAATATACGGTACAATTATGACATAAGAATTGACGCCGAAATAAACAACAGTGCTGTTTATTTGCCACATGCGATGTGTGTGTGCGCGTAAATATTTTAAATTGTATGTTGTTTGTTGGTGCAAATATTTCATGTATTCGATCGCATTGTTTCGGTGAAGTTTACATTTTACGAGCATGTCAAAAGCAACAGAGACCATATAAAAGCAGAGGAAAAAATACATATAGTATATATACAGAAATTCGCATAAAAACATCGAGTATTACAAAACGAATGTATCCAGCATGCCAAATGGGTCAGCGCTCATGCTAAAATTACGTTCAAACTATTAAAAAGAAACATGAACATAATGGAGTTCTTTAGTCGCACCATCTCACTCATTCTCGGCCAAATTATCTCGTTCTCCCTTTCTCGCTCACTCTCTTTTGCCTTCATCACACTCTTTTTCTGCTGCATAAAAGTCTAGCGTATCTGAAAGTGGATAGAAAAAAAAAGCAGTAAAGCGCGCACGCATTTACTCGTTCGTCAACAGTAATAACCGATTTGAGAGGCATTCAATGTTGCTTATTCTTTGCATATTAAAACCGAACACACACACAAACACATGGTCGGATAACGGACGTAAATGATGATGATTTGATGGCTTAATGCATAAATTAGCCTGAAACACGTTTCGTTCAAAACAGCACACGAATTGAATGTGGTCGTGTGTATGAGTGTTAAGCATATATACGTGCTAATCGAATAATTTTTGAACGAAAAGAGAGAGAGAGAGAAACAAAAAATAAAGAAAAGAATTGCGACAACGACGAACGAACGGTATTATAGGCCGATTGTAGCGATTTGATGTGAAGTAATTCTGTGGCATTTCGAGTTGACCGATAAGAATCCAAAAGGAATTTCTTTTATTTTATGTTCGTCGGTTTTGCGTGTTCAACGCTAATTTTTCAACGTAATACGCGCATATTACTTTCAATATCACATCTAGCGACCACCTACTGCAACCATGATATATCTTTATTTCTTGATATCGTATTTTAATACACGGAACACACGTTCCATTTGCACAGATTGGCAAAACGAAACAACAATTCAACGAACAAAATACAGTGCCGACCCAAAGCATCGCATACACACTTTGAAACCCGAATGCAAAGAAGCATTGAAGCGAGAAAGAGAAGTAAGACATTTCTCTCCGCTTGCTCTGGTGCGTATTTGGGTGTCGTTTAAAATACTCTCTCGCTCTCTTGCTCGGCACACATACCACAAATAATATAACAAATTTCTCTGCTTTTGCGGTATCTTTTTCTTCGTTTGCTTGCACTCGGTATTTTTTTTTTTGGGTCACATTCTACTGCAAAATCATTGCTTATAAACATTAGTTGTTGTTATACAAAAATGAACCAAAATAAAGTCACAAACAGAAGAGAATTGTGCACGAGAAGAATTCGGTAGCTTTATAAATTACGCAGCGACCGGGACATTCTCAATAAGTTTTCTATTGTGATGCGAGCACGAGAGCGAGAGAGGGAGGGAGAGAGGAAGAGAGGGAGAGAGGGCAAGAGAAAAAAAATCAATACTAAACACTCCATTGATTTTCGTGTTTTGCGTCGCTTTCGCATTGTCCGCTCCAATTTTGAGTAGAGAATTTATTGGAAAATCATCCGACAACACATCGATTGGATGCGAGATAGATGTGTATTGGTGCAGTCACACTCATCATTTATTCATTGGCATTTGTATAATGGGCGACTCGGTTTTGTGCACAACATAAACAACCACAATTTTTTTTAAGTCGTGCAACCCACAGCCAATGTTGTAAATGTGTGTCTCTGTCGATCTTTTTTTTCATTCCGATGTACTTGACATCGTCTCGCATTGTTGTGTTTACACATTTACACTGTCGATTTAGACAAATTGATGGCATTACGAGCTAGCACCAATTTCATGGTTTTGCATCAATCTGTCGCATACAAACGGCGGTGCATACAATCTACGGCTCTTTACACACTCACTGATTTTGTGCCAGTTTAATTAATTTCAAAAGTTTAACACGATTTGAATATGCACGGTTCAGAGTGTGTCGCTTTTTTGCACAACGCCGTCTCTCTCTTACTCCATAGCTCTCTCATGCTCTCTCCCTCTCAATGCAATAACAATGTTATACATAAATCAGTTGTGCAGGCCAGTGTGGTGTATATTTGTTCTACATTTTCAGTTTCCGTTATATTTCCATAATTCAATTCGCATGTATAATTGAGAACGAATCAAACCGACCGCATGACACATTTAAATATAGTGTGGCGCACGTTCAAACTGACATTTTTCATAGCTTGTTTTAATGCACTTCAACCTCACTTATGCATTCTCTGCTTTTTTTAATGCCAATTTCGTTTTCGTTGCTTCCATTTGAATTTTTAATGAAAATGAATGTAATCAAATACGTGAAAGTGAGATTGGTGCATTGGTGTTGGTTGTATGAAATTAAATTAGAAATAGCACACGCTGCTGGTAAATTGACGTCAACAATCGATTGGCAACGACGATGACGAAGACGGCGACGACCACCGACGGATAAAGTGATTGTATTGAGGAAATGTTTTCCTAGTTATAATGATATAAAATATTCCGTATTTGATTTGTATATTTCATGATGGGAAAAGCAAAATTTTGTGTTGATGACCTTGACTAATATGTATTTCTTATCAACACGCTCTGAATCGGCAAACGGCACTCATTCAACCGATGGCGATTGTGTGTGATTAACCGCTAACTACCTTTTTTTTCCTCGCCACATATGAATATTAAAATAGATTAATCATGTTTACACCCAAAAGCATTATTATGTCTTTCTCTCTCTTTCTCGCTCTCGATTCGAAATCGATCAAACCGTTTACCGCTATTCATTTTATTTATTGATTTTGACTTTTATGACCGTGTGCATTTTATTTTTATCATCAACAGGCGATATACATCAACCGCAACGATACGAAATTTCGACGACTTAATATCATATAAAAATGCAAACAATCAGCGGTGGTGGTAGCTTACGCTCAGGTGTTTATGATGGTAAAATAGCTGGTCTATATGATTTGGAGCAAACACTTGGCGTTGGACATTTTGCCACCGTTAAATTGGCAAGGCATGTGTTTACGGGCGAAAAGGTAGCTGTTAAAGTCATCGACAAAACCAAATTGGACGAAGTTTCACGTGCACATCTTTTTCAAGAAGTCAGGTAAGGGTCAAGCTCTTTTTTTTCTGCATTCAATCGAAACAAATCAACAAATTTCATTTTAAATAATCAATCAGAGAGGTGACAACCATTTTGATAACATTGACACCATAGCGTCTGTGTATAATCCATAAAAAAATACTTGAAGAAAGAAAAAAAAATGTGTGAGAGTTTACGTAATTTCAAAAGGTTAATCATTTTTCAAGGCAATTCCGATTGAAAATTGCAGAGCAATTTGTCACTCACTCAATTACCGATTACTAATGAATGACCGTTTTGATATTCAATTGAGAATGAATTGATAGCAATTATACAATCAATAAATTTAAACACATAATGATAATTTTTACAATGAAAAATCTACATATGGTAGACTTTACAGTATTCACTCAAACAATTAATTGAAATATTCCCCACACGTTGTGGCTGCTAATTATACTCAGTTTTCAAAGTGATTTCAGTATTGGACTAGAATAAAAATAAAAAGCATTGCACTGATGAGTCATTTCAAGTGGGTGATATCAGTTACTAACGCTACTTCTAAGCGTCTTAGTCAGCTAATGATTTACAAGCTATTGAACTTCAGATCATGCCAACTCATGCATTTGGTGTGAAGCGAGATAGCGTGACCTGAAGCCAAGCCTATGGTGTCAGTGTACCAAAACGAGTCAGATTCTATTTAAATTTTATATATTTTACTCATTTTATGTTTTGTGGTTTTTCAATCAATAGATGCATGAAATTGGTGCAACATCCGCATGTGGTGCGATTGTATGAAGTCATCGACACACAAACCAAATTGTACTTGATACTGGAACTGGGCGATGGCGGCGATCTCTATGACTATATTATGAAACATGAGGGCGGCTTAAGTGAACATTTAGCTATAGAGTATTTTCGACAAATTGTCCGAGCCATTTCATACTGTCATAAATTGCACGTCGTACACAGGTATGGGTTCTTTTAAATCGGAGGTTTTTAAAATACCATTTTTTTTTTCAAAATTCCGATTTTTTCAAATTGCACTTTTTAATGTCATTTTTTGTATTGGGTAATTTTTCAGAGACCTAAAACCAGAGAACGTGCTATTCTTCGAAAAATTAGGCATTGTCAAATTGACGGATTTCGGATTTTCGAATAAATTTTGTCCGGGCCAAAAGCTTGAAACATCGTGTGGCAGTCTGGCGTATTCGGCACCGGAAATTCTACTCGGCGATTCGTACGATGCACCAGCTGTTGGTAAGTAAAAATCTCTAACCAACGAATTGAGTACTGCAGTAGAGAATTTTATAATCATGCCAAATTTGGTCGTTTTTCAAAATCATCTGGAAAAATTGTTCTAGAACACATTCGATTCAATTTTTTTTGAATTTCAAATCGATATTTTGCGAAATAAAAAAATAAAAAGAGAAAAAGTTCGATAAATTTACTGATATGTGTTTTTTCTGTTTCACAGACGTTTGGTCACTGGGCGTCATTTTGTACATGCTGGTGTGTGGCCATCCACCGTTTCAAGAGGCAAACGATTCAGAGACATTAACAATGATTATGGACTGCAAATATACGACACCCGCTCATGTTTCAAATGAATGTCGTGATCTTATTGCACGGATGCTATTGCGTGAACCAGAAAAACGGGCAACACTCGCTGAAATTGCCACCGATAAATGGTTGACACAAGATGGATCTGATCATGTACCTGAATACTTACCGTTAGTTAGTAGGCAACAAGTTAGCGACGACGATCATACGCTCATCATACAAAAAATGATCAACGGAAATATTGCAACCAAAGAGGAGATTTTAGAGTGAGTATCGGTGCCTTTACATTTGCGATTTTTTCTTCAATTTCGTCGAACATGATGTTGTAGCATAATTTTTTGAAAACAGATTTTGGTATTTAATTTTTGATTTTCCTTTGGAAAATTGTGGGAAGAGTTACTAAAACACATTTTTTAAATTTTTGTTTTTATTTTTTTCCTTTGAATTTTTTTAAAAATAAATAAAGACCGAAAAATGAATAACACTCCCTGAAAAAAATTATAAATAATAATTTTTTTTTAGATTTTTTTCTGTAAAATTCTGTCCAAAATTTGAAAATTTTGAATTTGAATTTTTTTCAGTTTTAAATTTTTCAAAAAAAAAATACAAATTCAAATTATTTTTTCAAAATGTCGATTAAAATGAGTATCTCAATTTTATCAAAATTTGCAGAGCTCTAGATAAAAATGAATACAATCACATAACGGCAACATATTTTTTGTTGGCCGAACGACGACTGAAAATAACGAGACAGGAAACAGCGCAAGCGGATCGATTGAATGCTGCCACACCAAATAATGGAAAAGTGTCACCGAAAAAAATGTCAGGTGATGTGGTTGATGGTGCTGCGGAAATTTTAGCGAGTAATTTACTGGCACCACCTCCAAGTGGCAACTATAATAACTCACGAACCGGAACTGATGGCATAGTAACAACTGTAAGTCCAAAATAAATCGATTCCAAAAAATCTCTTTTTCTCCTCCTTTAATTGGAAATTAACGAAAAATTTGTCAATATCCACAGACGAGTCGATCGCGAAAGTGTAGTATTGTGCAGGAGGAAGACGACGATGAGGACGATGAAGGTGACGGTGCCGACGGTTCATTAAATCGTCGTGGTTCAAAGTCTGAGGGTCGAATAAATATCACCGTACAAGATCGTTTGGCCGAAACGGAGCGTTTGAAAAAGGAATGTGCTATGAAAACCGTAGCCGCCGCCATAGTGCCCACACGTAGTGTATTCGATGGTATTTGTAATGTAAAAGTATTGACAGCAAGTGACATGGACCCGAATCGATTGGGAAAACGGCAAATGTATGGTCAAAAACCACGTCCATTGGAATTACAAAATAATCTAAATGAACCTGTATTTCAAACGGTTGTCGAGCCACCATCGCCAAACATCAATAAATGTCAACCAATCGATTGTCAAAACGGTGAAGGTGTCGAAACAAACGAAAACACAGTAGTTGAGACAAAATTTCTAACCGATTCATCGACAATATCGATTCCAATAACAACCGCAACGCCAATTGCTCTAGTCAATCCACCGAAATATAAAACAATGCCATCACCAACCCGTGCAAACACCATACTACCGGGTGCAATGTGTTTGAATGAGATTTTCGAAGAGGGTACCGATGTTGGTTCATCCGATACAAGTACCACCACAACACCACGTCCGATTGTGAAACATGCCAATTTCACCAACAATCGAAATACAACACAAAGTGGTGGTGCCCATGCTCATCGTCGTTCAAAATTTAATAAATCACGAACGGCATCGTGTTCATCGTCCGACGATGATGATTCGGAAAATCGTAAAAAACGTGCACATAAAATTGTCGATTCAACAAAACCATTTCAGACGCACCGTCGCGATTCGAACGATGATTCGAGTGATTCACAGGATCCAAGCAATCCATCATGCGGAGCGTCTGGTTCTGGTTCAACGACATTTTCAAATTCGCAAATTATCAGCGGAACGACAGACACCAGTGAACAAACCAATGATGAGACAACACAAGGTGGTGAAAATACAACGACAAATGGACGACAGCAAAAAAATAATAGTATACAAGGTTTTCGTCGTCATCGCAATGGACGAAGGCGAACCAGCGAAACACGGTTGCGCGAAAGTCAGTCATTGAATCGAATTACGGAAGTGCAAGAAAGTGAAATGCCCATTTTGAATACAATTCAATATTCAAATCGATCACCAGCCACACTATCGACTAGTGCCATCGAACAAACCGACTCACATTCACCGACCACATCAACATATTCAACGATCACACCGATTACCATTCAGAAAACACCAAAACTTGGATTTGGCGCACGATTATTGCAAGGTTTTAAACGATCCGATCCAACATCTAAGGACAACACGAGCCGATCCAATGAATCAAAGAATAAACATAATAATAACAACAATAATAAGAACAATTGGAATGGCAGTAATGGCAATCACATATCATCGTCGACCGATTCAAGTGACACCATCAATTGGATCAAACAAACAAAGCCACCGTTACGCGTCAAAGCTCATCAACGTTTGAAGAATTTCAAGTGCTTAGTTGATATATTTAGTTAGACTCGGTCATGGTGTACATGTGTGTCGCGTCGTCGCATCTGAAGGCACGACAAATCTCTCAAAATCTTTATGGAATATATGTATTCTCTTTGAGCATTGACACAGATCTAGATTCGATGTGAACCGGTTTGCCGGTCTGATTACTTTGTTCAGTTTTTTAGGGAATTTCACTAGGGAGTAAAGGGCGAGTGAAATTCAGAGAAAAACTGTGTGCTATGACGAAAACTTCGTTCAATCATCGTACGATCGTTATAGACCACACTGTAAACTTTCATAATAACAAAAACAACAATTATCAATAGTTGATAACCAGTCACCTCGAACCTAGATCCGTTTACAAGAGACGGTAATTGAAAAAAAAAAAAAACAAATGACACCGCGACCAACGACAAATGCCAAATTAAAATTTAAAGTATCGATCGGTGCCTTTGTTTTTCTCCCGTGTCTTGTTGAACTTTGCCAAATGCTCAAATTACTTAAAACCATATTCATTATTAGAATTAAAAAGATGTTATTTCTCGTACTCATCCGTGCCCGCTTCTCAAAGCCCAATCACTATTTTCGCTGGTTAGCAATGTGTGTTTAAACAACAAATTCAGAGATGAATGTATTTATTTCATTGGTGTGTTCGTAAATCACATTGTCGAAAATAGTTTGAAATTAAAAAAAAACAACAAAAAAAATTTACCTTATTAGCGCATATTATTCATATATTCATTGTATTTCATAAGAAAAAGCATGTAGTCAAATTAATGACCAAAATGATTAGTAATGTAGCCAAACCAAAATGATAAGGGAAAAAAATCAGACACATGCATAACACACACTGACACCGTGAAAGGACATATTTTATTTTTAAGGTCTAGATGAAATTTTATTATTCATAGAATACTCATTTAAAATGAAACACATTGTAGACAAAAATGAAAGAAAAAAAAATTTCTCTTAAAGATCGGGGCACATTTTTGTTGTCACGTCCAAATACGATACGATTTTTCTACCCAATTTTTTTCTAACCCCCACACACACACACAAAACACACACATACAAAGATTTTTTTAAAATTAAAACCAATTATAACCGTTTTTAGTGATACAAAACACACATACCCTTTTTTAGATATATTATATGTATGACAACAAACAATCACACCATTCTTTTGTTTTTATTTTGTAAAATGTGGTAACCACATTTCGATTTCATTTGATGATAATGATCTGTGTAATTTTATTAATTATTCAAAAAGAAGATATGATACGGAACATATTGATTATCTCGAATTGCAAGAGACTGTCATCACTCTATTTTGTAAACACTTACTTTATTTAGTCGTGGAGCATACACATTCGATTACAAAAAGAAAGAATTTCTGGACTATTTTGGGAGTTGATTTAACATAAATTTTATCAAAATCGAGATTATTCATAGTTGTATCGACCATAGGCAGCTTTGAAAAATTGGTGTCATTTGAAAATTGTCGTTTTTGTTTAAATTGACTTCAATAGAATTTGCGTCTAACTATGGAATGAAGAGCAACAGATGAGATCAAATGTAATAGAGAAAGTATCTTTTATCACTTAATTCGATGTTTTTTCTTAGCAAAAATTTCAAATTCTTCTCTCAATAGAGAGAGTCAATACATCAAAAGAGCTATGCAGCTATGTACTGGCGCCGTAATTGGGTTTCAACCTATTTTCAGAAACATTCTTCACCAGGTTGTCTTTACACATATCTACTTGGCTCTTTGGATGTGTTGAGATTATGAAATTTGGAATTGGAACATTTTTTTCGCACAAGAAATCGAAAAAAAGTTTTGAAAAAAAAGTCGATTTCTTTCTGAAAAATTCCAAATAGAGTTTCTGAGATTTTAAGAAAAGATTTAAGAAAATGAGAAATCATTTATTCAATGTCAATGCTTTCTCGATTCGTTGAAAATTCTGCCGTTAGCCTCCCAGGAAATTTATCAAGCAAAATTCAATAGATTGTTATTAAAATAAGATTTAATGTAGAAACAAAGGTTTTGATGGATTGCGTCTGCTTGTGTTTTTATTTTGATTTATTTTGTTAATTCGCATCTAGTAAAAGTACGCATTTTTTTAGATTTTTATCTTTTCTATTATTTTTAAAATTAAATTTATGCAACAATAATTCAATTTAATGTCATTTATTTAGATTTTTCGATGTAATTGAATTTTTTTCAAATTAAAATCGGTTCTTTCTCCATTTTATTCTCTTTAAAAATCAGACACACTCCATCGAAATATTTGCAATCATTAAATTATACACTGTATCTCATATTCACCCAGACACAATACTTAGCAGTTAGAAATAAACTATAGCGCTTAAATGCAAAGCTACCATACACAAATAACGACGAATAGAAAAATACACAGATCAAGAAAACACTTAACTACAATTTAGATGAGAACAATAGTAAAATATCATTAAACACTAAACTCTTGGAATAACGGTAGCAACAGATCATCAATAAATAAAAACCACATACTCGGATTCTGTTTTAATATTTGCCGTTTCGATCTGTGTCAGAAAAAAATATGCAGAAAATATTGATTTTATTCTCCCCCGTCACAAGTCTGTTCACATCAAAATACACACTGAATGACTTAAATAAATCAACTAAATTAAAACATATTCAAATTCAGTTGACTTTAATTTATGTAAAAAAAATATTTTTCACAGGAATCGCATATAGAATCGAGAAAAAATTGATTATAGGTGAGCAAAGAGTCCAATATTTCATGTCACAGGATATAATCATCAATGAACTGCATCTGTAAAACGATAAGAAATTTCAAAGTGTTAAATGTTGCGATAATTATCATGAATATTTTTAAATTCTATAAAGTGCAAATCAAGAGGAGCTAATCTTGACTTACAAATATTGAAAAAATGAAATTCTCCAATCAAAATTACTTCCGCAAAATAACTCTCGCTTAAAAGTTACTAGTGACTATTTACCTCGGTGTATGGAGTGTTGATTGTACGACAAATAGGGCAACCACATGGTTTTACGCTTTTTTTGTTAGTTTTTGTCCATTTATAAGAGCAATACGTGCAATTATATTCAGATTTCCATACTATTTTCAAGGTGAGATTTGTGAGTGATAATCTTCTCATTTTGTTGCCAAATTTTCGTCAAGTGCTCGATTTGATTTTTGTATCAATTTAATTGCTTCGGAATAAAATGCTTGATTTGATTACAATTCGATTGAAAATCATTTACATTATCAATCTGCATCTTGACGAGACATAAAAAGAAGGATTTTGG